CCACCATATAACCATATATACAATTGCTGAGTATAAAGAGAAGAATGCACATTTGCTTCCAGGATGGCCCTAGGGTCTGGCCCCACCCTTGGAGACATAGTCCCTGGGCCATAACTTTAAAACGGTTGAGATCCCCACCCCAAAACTATATATACAAATGCTGGGCATAAAGAGACGAATGCAGTCATGATATTAGAATAGACCCTGGGGACTGACCGAACCCCTTGGGACCTAGTTTCTTAGTCACAGCTTGGAAACAGTTGAGATCCCCACCCTATAGCCATATATACAATTGCTGGGCATAAAGAGATGAATGCACATATGCTTCCAGGATGTCTTTGGGGACTGCCCTACCCTTGGTGACTTAACCTCTTGGTCATAACTTCGAAATGGCTAAGATCCCCACCCAAAAACTATATATACAATTGTTGGGCATAAAGAGACGAATGCAGTCATGATATTAGAATTGACCCCAGGGTCTGCCCCACCCTTGCAGACTTAACGCCTGGGTCTTAACTTTGAAACAGTTGAGATCCTGGGCCACCTACAAATGCTGGGCAAAAAGAGACAAATGCAGTCATGATATTAGAATTGATCCTGGGGTCTGGCCACAAACCTAGGGACCTAGTTTCTGAGTCACAGCTTGGAAACAGTTGAGATCCCCACCCCATAACCATACATAAAATTTCTGGGCATGAAAAATCTAATACAGATATGCTACAAGGATTGGCCTTGGGGTCTGGCATATTTCCTTGGATCTCATTTGGAGAATATTTTGCCATGATTACTTAGATATCCAGGTGAGCGATACAGGCCCTCTGGGCCTCTTGTTTACATATTTGACCCATGTGACCTTAAAGTAGGTCAAGGTCATTTTAATGAGGAAACTTTATAGCACTCCATCCCAGGTACCTACTGGCCAAATATCATAACCCTAGGCCCTCAAGGCCCAGAAGTAGTCGCTCAAAGAAAAGGTTGACGGACAACAGACGGATGGACGACGGACAGCGCAGTACAGCATAAGCTCACTTGGCCCTTTGGGTGAGCTAAAAATGTTGACAGTGGACACAGTTCCATTCATCAGCTTGCTCAATTACTGCCGTCATAAATTTACAAAGTAAAACAGATCCTCTGGTGGTTTACTGTGAAATTCCAATAATAATGTTGCAACTTATTTTCATTTTCAGCAAGGAATCCCAGGCCTAATTTTATGACAGTCTTACATTTAAATCATTACCACAGCAAGTCTTCAATGGCATATTTTCAAGGAGCATGAACAAATAATATGTTAAGTTTTTTAGGAAGAAAATTAGAACTTTTTTTTCTTTTGTTATCATAAGTATAAATAATGCAATGCAATGGTTATTGTGAAAGTTGTGTATTTTCAAAGGCAGCTTATGATCCAGATTTTCTGCAAGGAATCGAAGGTTATTTTAATGATGGTACATACATCTCGTGATGGGTGCCAATATCCCTCGGAGATGTTTGAAGTAATCTGTCCAAAAAACTGAGCTTGACGTTTGGACTTCAAAAAGAATTGCAAGGAAGCAAAATATACAAGTACTATCATGTGAGTCTTGTTTCCTTCCACCTCCATATTTGCTGGGCTAACAGAAATGTAAATACCAGTGCAATACTCATTTGTTAGCGTTGCTTTGTTTTATTTCACCTTAAATACCTCTCCCATCAAGAGCCAGGGTCAAAGTCAGAGATCCACTTTGTCTTTGACCTTTGGACCCAAATCATCTGGACCTTTAACACAGTGACCCTGATCTTTGGTCAGTTGACTTATTCTTTAATTCCGACCAACTTTGCTTCATAGAACCTTTGGACCCTGTAACCTGGACCTTTGGTCAGTTGACTATGTGTTAAGTTCCAACCGACCTTGCTTCATAATGTCATAAAAAAAAAGTTCATCAGTGAAAAGATACAAAATTTGACTGTGACCTTTGAACCTAATGACCTTGACTTTTTACCTCAGTGTGTCTCTTTAATTCCGACTAACTTTGCTTCATAATGTCACGAAATGTTCACCAGTGAAAAGATACTAAATTTGACATTTACCTTTGACCCAGTGACCTTGACCTTAAGTCAGTTAACTCCTTGTTAAATTCCGACCAACTTTGCTTCATAATGTCATAAAAAAAATGTTCATCAGTGAAAAGATGCAAAATTCGACCTTGACCTTTGAACCTAATGACCTTGACTTTTTATCTCAGTGTGTATTTTTGTTAACTGAACATCTTGACCAAGTTTAATGTAAATCGGTAAATTAAATACCAAAGTTATCAGCCAGGAACAAAACTTGTGGACAGACGAACAGACAGAGTGATTACTATCTCTGATACGGGGCCCTAGCAAGCTCTGGGATCTTGGTGCCCACCATAGTACCATCTTCATTAGTTCTATGTCAGTTCAATCTTTTCTCTTATCTGTTTGATCAAGTAATGTAAACAGTAAATGCACCTTGAGGAATCTTTTGATCTAAACTTAATACTGCTGTGTATAAAAAGACAATCTTCAAAGTTAGTTTGCCTTTTTACATATTTACTTGTACAGTACTTAATGGGAAAGAAATAGAACCGATCACAGCAATATGAGAAAGATCTGTAAAGTTCTTCCTGGGAAATAGTGATAATATTCATGAAATGTCAAAATCCAAGATGACCACCTGCAACCATCTTGTTTTCTTGAATCAGTCTCAAAATAGTGGTTGGCCATTTTGTTTATCCTATCTCTCTCAAAACTAAACATGTATTACTAGGGACCAAGGGGAACGTACACATTTGGTTCTACAAGGGGAACAACGTACACATTTGGTTCTACAAGGGGAACAACGTACACATTTGAGAGCGATCCCTCTAGCACTATCTGATGATGGTGGGCTAAAAAAACACATACACTGACAACAATTAATAGGTTTATTTATCAATAATTACATAGCTTTCATGAATGTGTGTTGCTCTATGGTAGAATATGAAATAAACAAATAACTTTTGGAAAAATTGTCTAAACAAAATTCAATAAGGGAGACACAACTTCATATCATGATTATAATGTATACCAAGTTTCAAAGAGATCGGTCGGAAAATGTGCCACATCACCTTTATACCAGTGGCAGTGTGACCGAGCCTTAAGGGTGCCACACGATCTGTTTACACAAATGGACCCCTTAGCACAACAATGTATTTATTTCGGGGAAACAAATTATACTGGCCAAATAAAGTACTGATCATTTAACCAAAGTTCACAATAGTTATGATGACCAACTGAAACCCATACTGGATTTTGAATTTGCTCCAAAATAACAAGCAGTCTTCTGCACCACTCGCTAATCTCTTACAATTGATTTCAGCAAAATCAGTTCTGTAGTTCTTACCTGTGACCTCAAAAGTGGAAACAAAATTCATTTAAACAAACTTGACCGTAATCAAGCTTACGTTACAAGTCTATACACCTTATTGTCTATTTTCCATTTTATCATGAGACCTTAAAAAAAGAATTCTTTAAAATAGACTTGACAGCATTTTATCAAGCAAGCTACCTTATACTGGTGCAATATTGGAAATGAACATGTCTATAATATTAACTGATTATACTCTTACACATTACAACAAGTCACAATACAAACCGAAAGTGTGAAATAGACTCACAATGTATGTTCACTACCGATACAACATGTGGGAAGATTTGTTACACGCTACTTATATAATGTCAAGGCTAGCTGTAGGACTGCCATACAGACAAAACAGTCAGAAAATTAAGTTTGTTCTTTCAGATGAAAACAATGGTTTTCTGATGTTTGACGCTTGATGGAACTGGTAACCATAAAAAGCATGATCTTGTTCCCACAACCTGGCTGTTCTGAGCCAAATAGTACTACAAAAGAAGGATAAAATGACATGTTTGCTGGTATATCAATGAGTGCAATAAAACATCATAGAATGCATGTAGTATTGCATTAATGAAACAAGGGGTATACGTCTTATCAATTGTGGTAAGATAATTACATTCAAACTGCTTCAGGGGGCATAACTGTAATTACAGTCAGATAATGGTGGTTATACAACTTGTGTGGGCTCCTATGGTAAATTACCTTCCTATGAAGTTTCAAGTGCTGAGAATCACTCAAGATATTGAGCAGACACAAATTGAATAAAGAGGTATAACTCCGTATATTACTGTCGGAAAATAATGGTTGTCGAACTTGCTCCCGAGCTTTCATGGTAATTAATATAACCTTCCCATGAAGTTTTGAAGTTAATCCGTTACTTGAGGTATAGAGTGGACACTTCACATTTAATTATTACATATAGTAGGTTGGGTATTTATATTCATTGTTAAGATCATTTTAACCTCATGTTGGAGGGGGGAAATGTGAAAGTTAAACTGACGAATTTTTCCCTGTATACATTTCTCTTTCATTCCATCAGTCTACAAAAATAATAAATTTGATAGCCCTTCTCCAAAACAAGCTACAGTCAAAGTATTGTTACTCAAGACTTTGTGTATCAATATTTCACTCTTTATCATGAGCTAACAATAGCTCAGAGGTCATAAAGACACATCACATGATGTGCTTATCACTCCAAAACAGACAGAATACAAAGATTACAATGAAATTCATAACAAAGCTTCTCTAACAATATCACTTGCTGTAACCTACACATATGTATGTTTACTAAAAAGTGTAGCTCTTAAATTCCCATTCTTTACAATAGGTTTAAAAGAAGTCTGTGGCTCTAGGGCGTTTGGATGACCTTGGTGTAGAGGTTTCTTTATTCTTTGCTGCCTTGACCTTTGACCTTGTAGTACTTTCAGGTGTGAATTTCAGGATGCCCTGGTCAGGTGTTCTACTCGGGTTGAAGGCCTCCTCTTGACTTTCTATCAGTGTCTTTTTGTAGAACTCTGCAAGGGAAAACTAGATATATGTAAAACTGACATTAATGCCACTGTTGTCTCCTACTTAAGGAATGAAAGACCTTATCATTATTACTTCTACATATTTTAACACAATTTTTCAATTATATCTTAAAAAGTTTAAAGTAAGTAAATTAAAGTAATTTGCATTCAAAAATTTGAAAAATATCTGTTTGTAACTCCATCCCTACATAAGTTGTAACAACAGGCCCCAAATTGGCCTTAGCAGTTACACGAGTTGTAATTTAATTGTTATTTATTGTTGTGATGTAGAAATAAAAGGACATATAATGCTAATTAGTATGGTTTTTTTACTGCAGATTCACTGACACAATTTTGGAAAGTGATCATGTATACCATTTTAAGGCTGGTAATTGTTAGAACAGTAAAATAATAAAATACATCGCAAAATGACCATGTAAAATGTACTTCCTCTGAAAGGGGGGATATTGACCCATGAGTAATGAAATTCATTATTTTGATAAAACACCTTAAGACCACTCAATCTATCTAATTGCTATCTCATCATAATTATTCCAACCAAAGTTTGACCAATTTGTATACCCAAAAATATTATTTCCCTATATTAACTTTAGTTAAATTAACCCCCTCCCCAAGAAGGGAGAATTTAGATCCATGAATAGATTTTTGATTCTAGTACATCTGAGTCTTGAGAAGAAGATTTTTGAAATAATGGTTAATTATCCCTTTGGGACCCCATCCTGGTCCCTGGAGTCAGGGCAGAAACCCCAATTTTACATTTCAAAACTCTCTACCACAAAGGATCATTCTGACCAAGCTTGAAAAAATTCCATTCAGCGGTTCTTCTTCAGAAGTCAAAAATGTGATAAGTTTATGGACGATGGACAACAATGGAATGTGGTCGCTATAGATGATTTGTAGAAATACTCTAGCCAGCCACTTTAGGCTACTCTCTGGTGCCTTTTATAGAGTTTGTTATAATTGTCTACATTAGTATTACACTTACCTTTAGCCTGATTCTTGTTCATGTTAAAACTGACACGCTTCATGCTACCAGGAGTGGACAAGGTTGGTGACTCGGTCTCCGGATCCTAGCAAATAAAAAGGTGTCACTAAACACAGTGTCAGAGAAAGTTGGGGCTCAAAAAAGATTTTATGATTTTGTTATTAATAAAAAAAAGAAAAAAACCTTTTTGGAAGGAAAATTATCTTCAGTTCTTTTTAATAATTTGTGATCAGAAGTTTTATTCATATCATAATAATAATATACATTTGATATAGCACCCTATCTAGCTAGAATAAGCCACTCTAAAGCGCGTTACAGTACATAACTTAAAAAAATTTAAACAATTAATACAATTAGCATATACATTAATCAATACAATTGTTGAGGAATTCTCAGGAGCTGCCTTATCAGGTGCTAACTACTAGTCCTATGCCACTATCATCTCCCTATGTGTGTATGCCTGTGTGTGTGTGCTGGAGATGTATCGTATTCTGTTTGTAGTGGGACTGGTACTGTGCTGCCAACGGTATCAATTATAGCACCACTTTACTTGAATACTACAGTACAGATACCGCAACATTCCCCCCAGACCATTTTATGGGTTGTTGGAGATGTGTGGGCAGGAGAAAAACAATTTCTCTGAATATCCCATGAATATATCCCATGAATATCCCATGCGTACGACAACTTTGGGGATCATATGCCACATCAGTAGTTGTTCTGCAATTTATTTCTAGAGACAAAGTGATAACAAACTTTACTGTTCAAATGTAAGATGGCTGCCTGGCAGACATTTTCTTATGATCAGTCTCAAAGTAAAACATGCACAAAATATGGAGCATGGGGAAGCTACATACGAAATAAGATCTGTCCATTAATTCTTGAGAAATAATGAAAAAAATCTGCAAAGATTCATTGCCCGAAGTCTTGGATCCAAAACAGGAGGCCAAGCACAAGAACCAATACCAACCCCAGTGACATGATCGCCATGATCACTGACAGATCAATATTGTACTGACCAGTAGGCCAAGCACAAGAACTAATAACAACCCCAGTGACATGATCGCCATGATCCAGTAGGCCAAGCACAAGAACCAATACCAACCACAGTGACATGATCGCCATGATCACTGACAGATCAATATTGTACTGACCAGTAGGCCAAGCACAAGAACTAATAACAACCCCAGTGACATGATCGCCATGATCCAGTAGGCCAAGCACAAGAACCAATCCCAACCCCAGTGACATGATCGCCATGTTCTCCGACAGATCAATATTGTAGTGACCAGAAGGCCAAGCACAAGAACCAATACCAACCCCAGTGACCCGATCGCCATGTTCACCGACAGATCAATATGGTAGTGACCAGTAGGCCAAGCACAAGAACTAATAACAACCCCAGTGACAGGCCAAGCACAAGAACCAATACCAACCCCAGGGACATGATCGCCATGATCACCGACAGATCATTATTGTAGAGTGACCAGTAGGCCAAGCACAAGAACTAATAACAACCCCAGTGACAGGCCAAGCACAAGAACCAATACCAACCCCAGTGACACGATCGCCATGTTCACTGACAGATCAATATTGTAGTGACCAGAAGGCCAAGCACAAGAACCAATACCAACCACAGTGACATGATCGCCATGATCACTGACAGATCAATATTGGAGTCACCAGTAGAACCAATACCAACCCCAGTGACATGATCGATCGCCATGTTCACTGACAGATCAATATTGTAGTGACCAGTAGACCAAGCACAAGAACCAATACCAACCCCAGTAACATGATCGCCATGATCACTGACAGATCAATATTGGAGTCACCAGTAGAACCAATACCAACCCCAGTGACATGATCGCCATGATCCAGTAGGCCAAGCACAAGAACCAATCCCAACCCCAGTGACATGATCGCCATGAACACCGACAGATCAATATTGTAGTGACTAGTAGAACCAATACCAACCCAGGTGACATGATCGCCAGGATCACTGACAGATCAATATTGTAGTGACCAGTAGAACCAATACCAACCCAGGTGACATGATCGCCAGGATCACTGACAGATCAATATTGTAGTGGCCAGTAGGCCAAGCACAAGAACCAATCCCAACCCCAGTGACATGATCGCCATGTTGACCGACAGATCAATATTGTAGTGACCAGTAGAACCAATACCAACCCAGGTGACATGATCGCCATGATCACTGACAGATCAATATTGGAGTGACCAGTAGAACCAATACCAGCCCCAGTGACATGATCGCCATGTTCTCCGACAGATCAATATTGTAGTGACCAGTAGAACCAATACCAACCCAGGTGACATGATCGCCATGATCACTGACAGATCAATATTGTAGTGACCAGTAGGCCAAGCACAAGAACCAATGCCAACCCCAGTGACATGATCGCCATGAACACCGACAGATCAATATTGTAGTGACCAGTAGAACCAATACCAATCCCTGTGACACGATCGCCATGATCACTGACAGATCAATATTGCAGTGACCAGTAGTCCAAGCACAAGAACCAATACCAACCCCAGGGACATGATCGCCATGATCACCGACAGAACAATATTGTAGTGACCAGTAGAACCAATACCAATCCCAGTGACATGATCGCCATGATCACTGACAAATCATTATTGTAGTGACCAGTTGGCCAAGCACAAGAACCAATACCAACCCCAGGGACATGATCGCCATGATCACCGACAGAACAATATTGTAGTGACCAGTAGAACCAATACCAATCCCAGTGACACGATCACCATGATCACTGACAGATCAGTATTGTAGTGACCAGTAGGCCAAGCACACGAACCAATACCAACCCCAGTGACATGATTTCCATGTTCACCGACAAATCAATATTGTAGTGACCAGTAGGCCAGGCACAAGAACCAATGCCAACCCCAGTGACATGATCGCCATGAACACCGACAGATCTATATTGTAGTGACCAGTAGAACCAATACCAACCCCAGTGACACGATCGCCATGATCACTGACAGATCAATATTGCAGTGACCAGTAGTCCAAGCACAAGAACCAATACCAACCCCAGCGACATGATCGCCATGTTCACCGACAGATCAATATTGTGGGGACCAGTAGAACCAATACCAACCCCAGTGACATGATCTCCATGATCACCGACAGATCAATATTGTAGTGACTAGTAGAACCAATACCAACCCAGGTGACATGATCGCCATGATCACTGACAGATCAATATTGTAGCGACCAGTAGGCCAAGCACAAGAACCAATCCCAACCCCAGTGACATGATCGCCATGAACACCGACAGATCTATATTGTAGTGACCAGTAGAACCAATACCAACCCCAGTGACATGATTGCCATGTTCACCGACAAATCAATATTGTAGTGACCAGTAGGCCAAGCACAAGAACCAATACCAATCCCAGTGACATGATCGCCATGATCACTGACAGATCAATATTGCAGTGACCAGTAGGCCAAGCACAAGAACCAATACCAATCCCAGTGACATGATCGCCATGATCACTGACAGATCAATAATGTAGTGACCAGTAGGCCAAGCACAAGAACCAACACCAACCCCAGTGACATGATCGCCATGATCACTGACAAATCATTATTGTAGTGACCCGTTGGCCAAGCACACGAACCAATACCAACCCCAGTGACATGATCGCCATGTTCAACGACAGATCAATATTGTAGTGACCAGTAGAACCAATACCAACCCCAGTGACATGATCGCCATGATCACTGACAAATCATTATTGTAGTGACCAGTTGGCCAAGCACAAGAACCAATACCAACCCCAGTGACATGATCGCCATGATCACTGACAGATCAATATTGTAGTGACCAGTATGCCAAGCACAAGAACCAATACCAATCCCAGTGACACGATCGCCATGTTCACTGACAGATCTATATTGTAGTGACCAGTAGGCCAAGCACAAGAACTAATAACAACCCCAGTGACATGATCGCCATGATCTCTGACAGATCAATATTGTAGTGACCAGTAGGCCAAGCACAAGAACCAATACCAATCCCAGTGACACGATCGCCATGTTCACTGACAGATCAATATTGTAGTGACCAGTAGGCCAAGCACAAGAAACAATACCAATCCCAGTGACACGATCGCCATGTTCACCGACAGATCAATATTGTAGTGACCAGTAGGCCAAGCACAGGAACTAATAACAACCCCAGTGACATGATCGCCATGATCTCTGACAGATCAATATTGTAGTGACCAGTAGTGACCAGTAGGCCAAGCACAAGAAACAATACCAATCCCAGTGACACGATCGCCATGTTCACCGACAGATCAATATTGTAGTGAGCAGTAGGCCAAGCACAAGAACCAATACCAACCTCAGTGACATGAATGCCATGATCACCGACAGATCAATATTGTAGTGACAAGTAGGCCCTGCTCAACATGCTTACAGGAGTTCCTAGTCAATGAAACTCCTGGAACAGCATCTGAGCCCATTCTACTACACACTCTAATGAGCTGGCAGCACCACTTATAGACTTGTTCAACTTGTAGACTAAAAGATTGTCAGTGCATTGACCAAAACTGATATGCCATATACAACTTTGCCATCCTACAAATATCCCTAAAATTTCATTGAGCTATCTTTAAGTGAATTAAAGCTTAAGGTTATTGTCTTTTGATCTCAATGTAACCTTGAAATTGGGCATGTGAACCCCGAAATGGTATGCCACACAACACCTTTGCCATCCTACATAATATTCCTGATATTTTATTAGCCCACCATCATTTGATGGTGGGCTATTCAAATCGCACTGTGTCCGTGGTCCATCCTTAAACAATTCTTGTTATCGATATTGCTTAGGAAGTACCAAATAGATCTTTCTCAAATTTGTCATGTATGATCCCCTTGATCTGTAGTTGTGCATGTTTAATTTTGAGACTGATCGGATAAATAAAATGGCCAACATATTAAAGGTTTGTTATCGCTATTTCTCAGGAAGTACTAGAGAGATCTTTCCCAAATTTGTTATGTATACTCCCCTTGATCTGTAGTTGTGCATGTTTAGTTTTGAGAATGATCAGATAAACAAAATGGCCGATAGGCAGTCACCTTGGAATTTTCACAGTGAAGGTTTGTTATCGCTATTTCTCAGGAAGTTCTTGAGATATCTTTCTCAAATTTGACATGTAGGTTCCCCTTGGTATGTAGTTGTGCATGTTTTCTTATGAGACTGATCGGATAAACAAATCTTTGATTTTGACAGTTAAGGTTTGTTGGTGCTATATTTCCTAGGAAGTACTGGAGGGTTCTTACTCAAATGTTATAAGCAGGTTCCCTCCCCACTGTCCTTTATTGTTCATGTTTACTTTTGAAACTGATCAGATAAACAAACTGGCCGACCAGCGGCCATCTTCAATTATTTTACATTTAGTGCTATTTCTCAGGAATAACTAGGGATCTTTCTCAAATTTGATATGTAGGTTCCCCTTGATCCCTCGTTGTGCATGTTATATTTTGAAACTGATCATAACAACAAAATGCCCGAAGGAAGAACTAAACAGATCTTTCTCATATTGCAATGATCGGTTCTATTTCTTTCACATTAAGCATGTGCACTGTACTAGTAGATATGGCACTAATTTTTTAGTTCTGGAACCTGTATCGCGGAAATTACATATTCCACTCGTAGTCTGTAACACTGTACCTGGTTTTGAACTCGATTGTCTATGTTACGATACATCTACAGCAATAATTAGACGTTGACTCGGTAATAGTAGCAAATATTTGTTTAATATGAATTTTGCGTATACAGAAACTACACAACAAACCGGTGAAATCAAGCACATCACGATTGGAATGGTGCGCTAGCATTGTATAGGGAAATATAATTTTGTTTATAATACCGTAGGCGGAGGCGGTCCAAAGATCCAGAATACGGATAGGATCTTCGAAATATTGATTTTTTTTTGTTTTCCGAGCATTAATGCTACTTGATTTTAACATATATCAAATATAAGTGTGGGGACACGATAAAGAATCCATATTTTTGACGGTATGGATAATAATGACATAATTTTGCCTTTTACCAATTAAAATAGGAATAGGCAAAATGGGGTGGGGCAACGGAGTTTTAACTTCAAGCGAGCAAAATTGCAAAATTTTCACTGAGAACCCCACACTTTTTTATGCTTACGGAAAAGCATATATACTTGGCTGTCTTCTGTCAAAGTTTTATAAAACTGAAATGCGTTTTGACATTTTTGCTTATTTTTGATGCATTTGTTTGATGTAAATTTGCTAAAAATTGCATTTTGAAGAGAATGGATGGCCACTAAAATTGCATAAGTTTTGGAAATATAATTGTTTTTGTTTTATTTTTGCTTTTGATAGTTCATCACATAAATTTTTTTTTAAATATTAAACTTGGTGGTAACCTCAGTTTTGTAAATACTGTAGAAAACATATTTTTACTTAATTTTCATAATTTAGGAGAAAACTTGGCTACCTTTCAGCTCAATTATCTCAAAAAGCAAGTCAAGAACCCACTTTTTTCTTTTCATATATGGAATCTATGTAAAAAATGCAACAAAATAAGCCTACTTAGAAAACAAGAGGCCCAGAGGGCCTGTATCGCTCACCTGAATATAATTAACAAGTAATTGGTATGAAGTAAAGATATAGCACTCTATGGTAGGTGCTGTTAGTACATATGAAATTTCAGAAAGATCCATCCAGTACTTGAGATATAGAGAACAAACTTCAAACAGAGCCCCACCCCTATGCCCCTACGGGGGTCATACCCTCCAATTATACAAAATTGAGTAGCCGTCACCCAAGGATGCTCCACACTAAATAAGGATAAAATCCCTCAATCCCGATGGTCGGAGAAGGATTTTAAAGGGTTTACCTCTATTTTTCCTATTGGGCCCCGCCCTTCTGCCACCCTCGAAGACCACACCTACTGTTAATACAAAATTGAGTCCCCTTGGCCCAATGATGCTCCAGACTGAATTAGGATAAAATCCTTTAATCCCTATGGTAGAAGAAGGATTTTAAAGGTTTTACCTCTATTTTCCCTAGTGGGCCCCACCTCTCTGCCTACAGCGGGGTCAGACACACCGTTTATACAAAATTGGTTCCCCTTCACCCAAGAATGCTTCAGACCAAATATGGACAAAATCCTGCCATTCATACAGAAGAAGAAGGATTTTGAAGATTTACGTCTATTTCTCCTATTGGGCCCCCACCCCTCAGGTCCTAGGGGGGCCACACCCACCGTTTATACAAAATTGGTTCCCCACTACCCAATGATGCTCCACACCAAATATGGACCAAATCCTTTCATTCCTACAGAAGGATTTTAAAGAATAATTTGCTATGTTTCCCCAATTGGGCCCCAACGGCTCAGGCACCTGGGGGGCCAGATCCACGGTGTATACAAAATTGGTCCCCCTTCACCCAAGAATGCTTCAGACCAAATATTGAACAAATTCTTTCATTCCTACAGAAGAAGAAGGATTTTAAAGAATTTACGTCTATTTCCCCTATTGGGCCCTGCCCCTAAGCCCCAAGGGGGGCCAAACCCACCATTTATACAAACTTTGTTCCCCTTCGCCCAAGGATGCTTCTGACCATATATGGACCAAATCCTTTCATTCCTACAGAAGAAGAATGATTTTAAAGAATAGTTTGCTGTTTCCCCTATTGGGCCCCGTCCCTCAGGCCCCTGGTTCCCGACTACCTAAGGATGCTCCACACCAAATATGGACCAAATCCTTTCATTCCTACAGAAGAAGAAGGATTTTAAAGAATAATTTGCCATATTTCCCCTATTTGGCCCCGCCCCTCAGCCCCCAGGGGGGCAAGACCTACCATTTATACAAACTTTGTTCCCCTTCCCCCAAGGATGCTTCTGACCAAATATGGACCAAATCCTTTCATTCCTACAGAAGATGAAGGATTTTAAAGAATAATTTGCTAGATTTCCCCTTTTTGGCCCCGCCCCTCAGGCCCCTGGGGGGCCAGACCCACCATTCATGCTCCACATCAAATTTTGTTAAAATCCGCTCAGTGGTTTATGACTAGTAGTGTAAAGTTGACGGACGACGGACGCAGGAAGACGGACGACGGACGCTGCGGTATGGCATAAGCTCACCTTGGTCCTTCGGACCAGGTGAGCTAAAAATGACATGGGTTTTTCCAAAAGTATGGACCCATCTTAACATGACTCGATCAAATAGACCTTTGACATCAACGTGACCTTGGCCTTGAAAGGATGTCATACTACATTTTTATCCCAAAAATTGAAAGGCCAACTAAATGAAAGATTCCGACCACTAACAAAAAGCGATTTGAAAAGTCCTAATGATGGTAGCTGGCTTAAAACGTTTGACACCCCTCAGGATGAATGCCATGGAACAATATTATTGTTAAGGTCACTTGCATTTGCTATTATGGCAAGTGAACTAAAACAACGCGATATGATTATCTGTGACTAAGAGATCTGGTCATCTACAGTACACATGTATATACATATCTACATGTGTATATACATACCTTCCTCTTCTTGTCAGATTTTGGTGTAGACTTAGCGCTAGCTTTCCTGAGAAATGCTGGTGGTGTGGATAAACCCACATCAAACTTGGCAAACTGAGAACCAGCAGATTTCTGTTCTGACAATGGCGCCTTTATTTTTCCCTTGTACTTTTTGTTTGGTATCCAGATTTCTACCTCTTTCTGTAAAAGAGTTCCAGCCTCTTTATCAGTTGTATCCTTTGCACTTGTCATCTGCACCTTAGAATTTCCAGCCCCTACATCCCCCTTTTTCACCTTTCTGGTCTTCACTTTTGTGAGACTCTGTACAGACTCCTCCATGTCTAGTCCTGATGGCTCATTAAATAACGAGGGAGTGGAGGTGTCTGTTGGTGTCGGTTGATCTGAAACAGACCACTGCTTGGCTCTTTTTTTCTTTGTCCGACTACCAGCACTTGTCACTTGTGACATAACATCACCTTCAATGTCAGCTACTTTCTTCTTCTTTTTTCCACTGTGTAGTTTATAAGTACTGTTATCTATCTGGGATTCATTCAAATTAGAGCTACTGTCAGCAGTGTCTGTTGATATTTTCTCTGAAGTGATCTGCTCTTTCTTGTTCTTCTTCTTTTTATTGTTGTTATTTGTTTCACCTTTGTTATTCATTCTGAGTACATTTGCACTCAGTGTTGATTCATTTAAAAACATTTCATCAGTACGTTGCTTCTTTGTTTTTTCTCCTCCTCCACTCTTATCCGTATTAATGATCACATCCTCAGATTTCCATTTCTTGTTTGGTGTTACCTCCCCTTCTTCATCTTCTTCTGAATTGTTAGAATCTGCTGAAGATTTTCCTGTAACAGAAAAAATATAATTTATTCAAAACATCTATAACAGAGGCCCAGTGGCTATTTGATAACTCCCCTGATCTTTAACACATATTTTATTTAAGATATGTAGAATATGGTACAGAAATATATATCATAAAAGTATAATCAGATGAGAATAGGTAAAAATTTAGTAAGGAGTCCACTACTGGATCAGGCCAGTATCACAACAGTATGGCTATACCTTATATACCCCACTACTGGATCAGGTCAGTATCACAACAGTGTGGCTATACCTTATATACACCACAACTGGATCAGGCCATTATCACAACAGTATGGCTATACCTTATATACCCCACTACTGGATCAGGTCAGTATCACAACAGTGTGGCTATACCTTATATACACCACTACTGTATCAGGTCAGTATCACAACAGTATGGCTATACCTTATATACGCCACTACTGGATCAGGCCAGTATCACAACAGTATGACTATACCTTATATACAATATCATAAAAGTATAATCAGATGAGAATAGGTAAAAATTTAGTAAGGAGTCCACTACTGGATCAGGACAGTATCACAACAGTATGGCTATACCTTATATACGCCACTACTGGATCAGGCCAGTATCACAACAGTATGACTATACCTTATATACAATATCATAAAAGTATAATCAGATGAGAATAGGTAAAAATTTAGTAAGGAGTCCACTACTGGATCAGGCCAGTATCACAGCAGTATGGCTATACCTTATATACACCACTACTTGATCAGGTCAGTATCACAACAGTATGGCTATACCTTATATACGCCACTACTGGATCAGGTCAGTATCAGAACAGTGTGGCTATACCTTATATACACCACTACTGTATCAGGTCAGTATCACAACAGTATGGCTATACCTTATATAAACCACAACTGGATCAGGTCAGTATCACAACAGTATGGCTAAACCTTATATACACCACTACTACTGGATCAGGCCAGTATCACAGCAGTATGGTTATACCTTATATACACCACAACTGGATCAGGTCAGTATCACAAGAGTATGGCTATACCTTATATACACCACTACTTGATCAGGTCAGTATCACAACAGTATGGCTATACCTTATATAAACCACAACTGGATCAGGTCAGTATCACAACAGTATGGCTAAACCTTATATACACCACTACTACTGGATCAGGCCAGTATCACAACAGTATGGTTATACCTTATATACACCACAACTGGATCAGGCCATTATCACAACAGTATGGCTATACCTTATATACGCCACTACTGGATCAGGCCAGTATCACAACAGTATGACTATACCTTATATACAATATCATAAAAGTATAATCAGATGAGAATAGGTAAAAATTTAGTAAGGAGTCCTCTACTGGATCAGGCCAGTATCACAACAGTATGACTATACCTTATATACAATATCATAAAAGTATAATCAGATGAGAATAGGTAAAAATTTAGTAAGGAGTCCTCTACTGGATCAGGCCAGTATCACAACAGTATGACTATACCTTATATACAATATCATAAAAGTATAATCAGATGAGAATAGGTAAAAATTTAGTAAGGAGTCCTCTACTGGATCAGGCCAGTATCACAACAGTATGGATATACCTTATATACACCACAACTGGATCAGGCCATTATCACAACAGTATGGCTATACCTTATATACCCCACTACTGGATCAGGTCAGTATCACAACAGTGTGGCTATACCTTATATACACCACTACTGTATCAGGTCAGTATCACAACAGTATGGCTATACCTTACATACACCACTACTGGATCAGGTCAGTATCACAACAGTTTGGCTATACCTTATATACACCACTACTGGATAAGGTCAGTATCACAACAGTATGGTAATACCTTATATACACCACTACTGGATCAGGTCAGTATCACAACAGTTTGGCTATACCTTATATACACCACAACTGGATCAGGTCAGTATCACAAGAGTATGGCTATACCTTATATACACCACTACTTGATCAGGTCAGTATCACAACAGTATGGTTATACCTTATATACACCACAACTGGATCAGGCCATTATCACAACAGTATGGCTATACCTTATATACGCCACTACTGGATCAGGCCAGTATCACAACAGTATGACTATACCTTATATACAATATCATAAAAGTATAATCAGATGAGAATAGGTAAAAATTTAGTAAGGAGTCCTCTACTGGATCAGGCCAGTATCACAACAGTATGGTTATACCTTATATACACCACTACTGGATCAGGCCAGTATCACAACACTGTAGCTATACCATACATACATTCACTACTGGATCAGGTCAGTATCACAACACTGTTGCTATACCATAAATACATTCACTATTGGATCAGGCCAGTAGCACAAGAGTATGGTTATACCTTATATATATAACAGTTTAAATGGTGTCTCACCTTTCCTTTTCTTTGGTCTTTTCTTTCTCTTCTGCCGCAGCCTCTTACTGATGCCAGGGGCAATATCTTCATCTCTGGTGATGGCACCCTCATCCAGATCTCGGAACCTGACAGATACAACCACAGAGGGACATACAAACTATATACCGGTAGATCTTAAACACAGGGGGACATACAAACTATATACATGTGCGGATATGATCTTAACCACAGAGGGCTCAGCCCCCAGGGGGGCAAGACCTACCATTTATACAAACTTTGTTCCCCTTCCCCCAAGGATGCTTCTGACCAAATATGGAACAAATCCTTTCATTCCTACAAAAGAAGTAGGATATTAAAGATTTTGCTATATTTCCCCTATTGGGCCCTGCCCCTCAACCCCCAGGGAGGCCAGACCCACCGTTTATACAAAATTGGTTCCCCTTCCCCCAAGGATGCTTCTGACCAAATATGGAACAAATCCTTTCATTTCTACAAAAGAAGAAGGATATTAAAGAATTTGCTATATTTCCCCTATTGGGCCCTGCCCCTCAACCCCCAGGGAGGCCAGACCCACCGTTTATACAAAATTGGTTCCCCTTCCCCCAAGGATGCTTCTGACCAAATATGGAACAAATCCTTTCATTTCTACAAAAGAAGAAGGATATTAAAGAATTTGCTATATTTCCCCTATTGGGCCCTGCCCCTCACCCCCCAGGGAGGCCAGCCCCACCGTTTATACAAAATTGGTTCCCCTTCGCCCAAGGATGCTTCATACTGGACATACAAACTATATACATGGGTGGATATGATCTTAACCTCAGAGGGACATATAAACAAGAGGCCCAGAGGGCCTGTATCGCTCACCTGAATATGTTTAAAATAATTGGTATGAAGGTATAGCACTTGATGGTAGGTGCTGTAAGTACATATGAAATTTTAGAAAGATCCATCCAGTACTTGAGATATATGAGGGACATACAAACTATATACCGCTAGATCTTAACCACAGAGGGGACATATAAACTATACAAGAGGCCCAAGAGGGCCTGTATCGCTCACCTGAATATGTTTAAAATAATTGGTATGAAGGTATAGCACTTCATGGTAGGTGCTGTAAGTACATATGAAATTTTAGAAAGATCCATCCAGTACTTGAGATATATGAGGGACATACAAACTATATACATGTGGGGATATGATCTTAACCACAGAGCGACATATAAACTATATACATTTTAAAGAATAGTTTGCTGTTTCCCCTATTGGGCCCTGCCCCTCACCCCCCAGGGAGGCCAGCCCCACCGTTTATACAAAATTGGTTCCCCTTCCCCCAAGGATGCTTCTGACCAAATATGGAACAAATCCTTTCATTCCTACAAAAGAAGTAGGATATTAAAGATTTTGCTATATTTCCCCTATTGGGCCCTGCCCCTCAACCCCCAGGGAGGCCAGACCCACCGTTTATACAAAATTGGTTCCCCTTCGCCCAAGGATGCTTCATACTGGACATACAAACTATATACATGAGTGGATATGATCTAAACCACAGAGGGACATACAAACTATATACTGCTAGATCTTAACCACAGAGAGATATATAAACTATATACATTTTAAAGAATAGTTTGCTGTTTCCCCTATTGGGCCCTGCCCCTCAACCCCCAGGGAGGCCAGACCCACCGTTTATACAAAATTGGTTCCCCTTCGCCCAAGGATGCTTCATACTGGACATACAAACTATATACCGGAAGATATTAAACACAGAGGGACAGACAAACTATATACATGAGTGGATATGATCTAAACCACAGAGGGACATAAAAACTATATACCGGTAGATCTTAACCACAGAGGGACAAATAAACTATATACACGTGTGGATATGATCTTAACCACAGAGGGACATATAAACTAAATACCGGTAGATCTTAACCACAGAGGGATATATAAACTATATACATGTGTGGATATGATCTTAACCACAGAGGGACATATAAACTATATACCGGTAGATCTTAACCACAGAGGGGACATATAAACTATACAAGAGGCCCAAGAGGGCCTGTATCGCTCACCTGAATATTTAAGCAGTCATAGCAAAATATTCTCATTAAATATTATATTGCACTAAAAATATTTCCCTCGCAAACTTTGTTGGCTCCATCTGTTGAAACTACCAGCAAAATATTATTATAAGATTCTATGCTTTTTGATTCTTCTTCAGAAGTTGCTTGACATATTTTTCCCTGTGATCTTGTAAGTAGGTCAATGTCATTTTCCTTCTCAAATTGGTTAGCTCTATTCCAAAAAGCTACCAGCCAAATCTTATGAATCCATTCCTTTTAGTTCTCAAGAACAAATCCATTAAAATGTTGTTGACCTCTGTGACCTCTAAAGTAGGTTGAGGTCATTTTCATTTGCAAACTTTGGTGAGCTCTATCCCGGGAAGTCACCAGCCAAATATTATAATTTTATGCCTTTTAATTCTTCAGAAGAAGCTGTTTGAACTGTTTGACATATTTGAACGCTGTGACCTTGAAAGTAGGTCAAGGTCATTTTCATTCGCAAACTTTGTTTGGCTCTTTCCCAGGAAGCCACCTGCCAAATATTAAGATTTTATAACTACCAGTTCTTCAGAAGAAGTCGTTTAAAGTGTTTGACATATCTGCCTCATGTGACCTTAAAAGAAGGTCAAGGTCATTTTCATTCTCAAACTTTGTTCGGCTCTTTCCTAGGAAGCTACAAGCCAAATATAGAGATTATATACCTTTCAGTTCTTCAGAAGAAGTCGTTTGAAGTGTCTGACACATTTGACTCCTGTGACCTTGAAAGAAGGTCAAGGTCATTTTCATTCTCAAACTTTGTCGGGCTCTATCCAAGGAAGCCATCAATCAAAAATAAAGATTCTATACCTTTCAGTTCTTCAGAAGAAGTCATTTGAAGCTTTTGACATATTTGACCCCTGTGACCTTGAAAGTAGGTCAAACTAATTTTCATTCTCAAACTTTGTTGGTCTCTATCCCAGGAAGCCACCAGCCAAATATAAAGATTCTATACCTTTCAGTTCTTCAGAAGAAGTCGTTTGAAGTGTTTGACACATTTGACCCCTGTGACCTTGAAAGTAGGTCAAGGTCATTTTCATTCTCAAACTTTGTTGGGCTCTATCCCAGGAAGCCATCAGCCAAATATGAAGATTATATACCTTTTAGTTCTTCAGAAGAAGTCGTTTGAAGTTTTTGACATATATGACCCATGTGACCTTGAAAACAGGTCAAGGTCATTTTCGTTCTCAAACTTTGTAGGGCTCCAACCAACGAAGATTTCAGTCAAATATCATGACTCTAGGCCTGTTCGTTCTTCAGAAGAAGTTGTTTAAAGGAAAAGTTGACGGACGAGGACGGACGAGGACGGACGGACGGACGGACAGACGGACGGACGGACAGACGGACGGACGGACAGACAATGGACGGACGACAGACGCCACACCACGGCATAAGCTCACATGGCACTTCGTGCCAGGTGAGCTAATAATGGTAGATCTTAACAACAGAGGGACATATAAACAAGAGGCCCAGAGGGCCTGTATCGCTCACCTGAATATGTTTAAAATAATTGGTATGAAGGTATAGCACTTCATGGTAGGTGCTGTAAGTACATATGAAATTTTAGAAAGATCCATCCAGTACTTGAGATATATCGAGAAAAACCTTCAAACAGAGCCCCACCCCTATGCCCCTAGGGGGGTCATACCCACCGTTTATACAAAATTGAGTCTCCTTGACCCAAGGATGCTCCAGACTAAATTAAGAAAAAATCCCTTAATACCTATGGTAGAAGAAGGATTTTAAAGGTTTTACCTCTTTTTCCCCTATTGGGCCACGCCTCTCTGCCTTCAGGGGGTTAGACACACGGTTTATACAAAATTGGTTCCCCTTTGCCCAAGGATGCTTCATACTAAATTTGGACAAAATCCTGGCAATCTTACAGAAGAAGGATTTTGAAGAATTTGCTGTTTGCCCTATTTGGCCCCTCCCTTCTGCCCCCAGGGGGACCAGACCCACCATTTATACAAAATTTGTTCCACTTCCCCCAAAGTTGCTTCTGACCAAATATGGAACAAATCCTTTCATTCCTACAAAAGAAGTAGGATATTAAAGATTTTGCTATATTTCCCCTATTGGGCCCTGCCCCTCAACCCCCAGGGAGGCCAGACCCACCGTTTATACAAAATTAAGTCTCCTTGGCCCAAGGATGCTCCAGACAAAATTAAGAAAAAATCCCTTAATCTCTATGGTAGAAGAAGGATTTAAAAGGTTTTACCTCTATTTGCCCTATTGGGCCCCACCTCTCTGCCTTCAGGGGGTTAGACACATGGTTTATACAAAATTGGTTCCCCTTCGCCCAAGGATGCTTCATACTAAATTTGGACAAAATCCTGGCATTCCTACAGAAGAAGGATTTTGAAGAATTTGCTGTTTCCCCTATTTGGCCCCTCCCTTTTGCCTGCAGGGGGGCCAGACCCACCATTTATACAAAATTTGTTCCACTTCCCCCAAAGATGCTTCTGACCAAATATGGAACAAATCCTTTCATTTCTACAAAAGAAGAAGGATATTAAAGAATTTGCTATATTTCCCCTATTGGGCCCTGCCCCTCAACCCCCAGGGAGGCCAGACCCACCGTTTATACAAAATTGGTTCCCCTTCCCCCAAGGATGCTTCTGACCAAATATGGAACATTTGATAAAGAAAAAGATTACACAGCTGGTCTACAAAACATACCCAAGTATCATGACTCTAGTCCAAATGGTTCTTAGGATATTGTTGTTTCAATTTTTGAAACCACAGAGGGACTTATAAACTATATACAGGTTTGGATATGATCTTAACCACAGAGGGGACATTATTAGCTATCTCTGGGTAGTGAGGTTAGGAGGGGGCCTGTAGGCTCAGGGTCTATGAGCCAGTAGACCCCTCCTAGCCCAGAGATAACAAATTTGTTACCCTTACAATCTTTTATTACTTGTTTTTCTACATTATAATTAAGTCACTTTGTGAGTTTGAATTGTACTTGACTGCTACCAAAATAGCATCTACCAGACACCTTTTAGGACTGTCAGTTTTGATTTTAGAACTGATTTTCTGTTATTGCAAGTACGGACTCGGGTTTCAGCTGAAGTACAATATACAATTCTTTACTTTTTAGCCCTCCTGGCACGAAGTGGTGCGGAGTCAATATTTTACTTTAAACAACTTCTTCTGAATAACCAAAATTACCAGGGTGATGATATTTGGCCAGTAGCATGCTGGAATGAAGGGCTACCAAGTCTGTTCAAATAAATGACATTCACCCATTTTCAAGGTCACAGGGGTCAATTGTCTTAAAAAATCTTTAAACAACTTGATATTAAGGCAGTAACATGCTAGGATAAAGGGCTACTAAGTTTTGTTAAAATGAATGACCTTTACCCAAATTCAAGGTCACAGGAGTCAAATATGTCTAAAACCTTTAAACAACTTCTTCTCAATAACCAAGAGGCCTAGGACGATGCTATTTGACCAGTAGCATGCTGTAATAGAGGGCTACCAAGTTTGTTCAAATAAATGACCTTCACCCATTTTCAAGGTCACAGGGGTCAAATATGTTTAAAAACTTTAAACAACTTTTTCTGAATAACCAAGAGGCATTGGCTAATGACATTTGGCCAGTAACATGCTGGGATGAAGGGCTACCAAGTTAATTCAAATGAATTACCTTCATCTATTTTCAAGGTCACAGGGGTCAAATAGGTTTAAAAACTTTAAACAACTTCTTCTGAATAACCAAAAGGCCGAGGCTAATGACATTTGGCCAGTAACATGCTGGGATGAAGGGCTACCAAGTTAATTCAAATGAATTACCTTCATCTATTTTCAAGGTCACAGGGGTCAAATAGGTTTAAAAACTTTAAACAACTTCTTCTGAATAACCAAAAGGCCTAGGATAATGATAGTTGGCCATTAACATGCTGGGATGAAGGGCTACCAAGTGTGTTTAAATGAATGACCTTTGCTCATATTCAAGGTCACAGGGATCAAATATGTTTAAATCTTTAAATGACTTGTTCTGAATATTCAAAAGTTCCAGGGTAATGATATTTAGCCAGGTCGCAGGCGTCATATGTTTAAATGATTTAATAGATTCAAATGGATCAAACACAGATATTTTGCCTGTAGCTGTATATTAGTCCACTTTTAAGATTACAAGTGTGAGATTAATTCCAGGTGAGCAATTCATAGAGGTCAAATGCAGAGGGGAAAATCATCTCTTAGGGAATGACAAATACCCATCAAAGGAATATCACCATTCCTATTTCATACTTCAGCTCCAATTTCTGTTGTTTTCATCGGCCTATGTGTGCATAAACAGAAAGCCTGCAGCTTTATCCCCTCAACAAAACTTCATTTATAATATTTGTATGGTATCCCACTACACTACAGCCATTTCATAATAGACACATCTTATTTATATATCAGGAATTGACTTTCCCTTAACATAGACCTTTTTTATATTTTGATGTCCAGGGTCACTTATATATATAATACTTGAACAGCTAGTATTACATATAATAAAGCACAGATAAATTTACTTACTTTTGCACCCAGTCGTAAATGATGGTTCGATTTCTGGTGCGACACAACTTGCCACTGCCGAGTTGGAACAGACGATCAGCGATGACACTGTAGTCGTACTGTAGACAGACAGGTTATAATGTTACTGGTAGTCGTCCTGTAGACAGACAGGTTATAATGTTCCTGGTAGTCGTACTGTAGACAGACAGCTTATAATGTTACTGGTAGTCGTACTGTAGACAGAACGGTTATAATGTTACTGGTAGTCGTCCTGTAGACAGAAAGGTTATAATGTTACTGGTGGTCGTACTGTAGACAGAAAGGTTATAATGTTACTGGTAGTAGTACTGTAGACAGAAAGGTTATAATTTTACTAGTAGTCGTACTGTAGACAGACAGGGTATAATGTAACTGGTAGTCGTACTGTAGACAGAAATGTTATAATGTTACTGGTAGTCGTACGGTAGACAGACAGGTTATAATGTTACGGGTAGTCGTACTGTAGACAGAAATGTTATAATGTTACTGGTAGTCGTCCTGTAGACAGAAAGGTTATAATGTTACTCGTAGTCGTACTGTAGACAGACAGCTTATAATGTTACTGGTAGTCGTACTGTATGCATAAAGGTTATAATGTTACTGGTAGTCGAACTGTAGACAGACAGGTTATAATGTTCCTGGTAGTCGTACTGTAGACAGAAATGTTATAATGTTACTGGTAGTCGTCCTGTAGACAGACAGGTTATAATGTTACGGGTAGTCGTACTGTAGACAGAAATGTTATAATGTTACTGGTAGTCGTACGGTAGACAGACAGGTTATAATGTTCCTGGTAGTCGTACTGTAGACAGAACGGTTATAATGTTACTGGTAGTCGTCCTGTAGACAGAAAGGTTATAATGTTACTGGTAGTCGAACTGTAGACAGACAGGTTATAATGTTACTGCTAGTCGTACTGTAGACAGAAAGGGTATAATGTTACTGGTAGTTGTACTGTAGACAGACAGGGTATAATGTAACTGGTAGTCGTACTGTAGACAGAAATGTTATAATGTTACTGGTAGTCGTACTGTAGGCAGACAGGTTATAATGTTACTGGTAGTGGTACTGTAGACAGACAGGTTATAATGTTCCTGGTAGTCGTACTGTAGACAGAGAGGTTATAATGTTACTGGTAGTCTTACTGTAGACAGACAGGTTATAATGTTACGGGTAGTCGTACTGTAGACAGAAATGTTATAATGTTACTGGTAGTCGTCCTGTAGACAGAAAGGTTATAATGTTACTGGTAGTTGTACAATAGACAGACCTGTTTTATTTGTTACTAGTAAACAAGAGGCCCAAGGGCCTTAGCGGTCACCTTTATTTATGGGTAGTTCATTTTCATTGTTGAGATGTAATAATGAAATTAACATGTAAACAAAGTGAAATACAATATTTGTCATGTCACCAAAGGATAAGAACTTTCAAAACTATTCAATTTTTTTTTTGCTATTGAGAAATATAATTTCTATTGTTATTTAGGCAATTTTCCTCTTTGGCCAACCCCTGGGATAGGTCAGGATCTTACTTTCTGATAATATTTGATTTCATTATAACTACTCCAACCAAGAATTATTCCTTGCTGAAATGGACAAACTATAGTCAGAAGTGTTATTTCCCTCTATAAACCAAGGAGAACAGATGACCAAAGGGTAATAAAACTAACAATTTATATAATGCACCTAAGGGCATTTCATCCATAAAAGAAACTTGGATCCTATACGTTTGAGTGCAGAGATTTTTCAAATATCAGCCATTTTCCCCTTTTTGGCCCCTACCCTCCAGCCCCTGGGGCTAGGATGGATTTTATTATTTCATACTGTCTAATTGCCATCTCATCACAATTATTCCAACCAAGTTTGAATAATTTCCTGTCGAGATTAGACAAAATATACCAACAAGAGGCCCATGGGCCTTAACGGTCACCTGATATATTTATACAGAGAGTTGATTTCGTTTTTAACATGAACAGAAATATTATTCAAAGTGACAAAAAACAATAAAACCACCTTATTCAATATCAAGCATACAGATTTCAGACTAAAAAGGATTTGAAACTAGCACCTCTGATTCTAAACAAGGAAAATGAAGAAATTTTAGCACACTGACTCCCTTGAGCCCCACCCTACAGCCCTTGGGGGTAGGGCTGGCTCAAAATTTTCAAAGTATCAAACTGTCAACTCAAGGTTATAATTCCAATCAAGTTATTAACATGTAATATTCAAA